TTCTGGCGGTGCGGTGCTCAGCTGGGGGGGGGGCGGCTCGGCGGGGCGGCGCTTTTTTTCGCTGCTTGGAGCAGCAAAAAAGTTAGAGCTGGCCCTGCCCTGGATTCACAGTGGTGTAAAAGAGCAGAGGTTGGCCCAGGATTTCTTACTTGACTAATGGTCCCCTGTACTGATTTTGCAGCAACAACCTACAAATCCCTTGAGCTCTTCTATATATGGAGGCTATCCCTAGTGCATCACATCAATAGTGTAGCTGGTCACCAACCCATTGCGGCTGTATGGTGCCCTCCCAAATAAGAGAGAATGCAAGGCAGAGTGTTATGCCAAAGAGTACAAAGGAAAATGAAAATGAGTTTTATTGCAGCATGCCAGAACCGTGCTTGCGTTCCATCCCTTTGATCATCTTTGTCACTTGCCTCTGGATCCTTTCCAGTTTCTCTACATCCTTCCTATACATTGGTGACCAAAATTGGACACAGTACTCCAGCTAGTCTAACTAGCGCTAAGTAGAGAGGTACTATCACCTCCCATGACTTGTATGCTATGCCTCTGTTAATGCAACTTACAATTGCATTTGTTTTTGCAACAGCATCACATTGCTGACTCACGTTGAGGTCGTGATCCACCACAACTCCCAGATATTTCTCAGCAGTGCTGCTGCCAAGCCAGTTTCCCCCCATTCTGTATTTGTGCGTATTGTTTTCCTTCCCTAAGTGTAGCACCTTACATTTGTGTTTGTTGAATTTCATTTTGTTGCCTATAGCCCAGTTCTCCAATTTATCCAAGAACCTTCTGAATTTTAGCTCTATCCTCCGAAGTACTGGCAACACCCCTAGCTTTGTGTCATCTGCACACTTGATCAGTATGCTCTCTATACATACATCCCAGTAATTAATAAAAATATAAACAACACTGGAGCCAGAACAGATCCTTGTGGAACCCCACTTGAGACCTCCCTCCAACCCGACATCATTCCATTAATAGTTACTCTTTGTTTGGTTGTTTAAGGAATTATGTATCCACTTAATGGTAGTTCTGTCGAGTTCGCATTTCTCCAGCGTACATATCAGAATGTCATGTAGGACTGTGTCAAAAGCCTTGCTGAAGTCCAGGTATATTATGTCCACCACATTCCCCCAATCCACCAAATCAGTTACGCTGTCAAAGAAGGAAATTCATGCTGGCTGCTAGTGATTACCCCTTCATCCTCCAGGTATTAGCAAACTGAATGTTTTTTATATTGCTCTAGTAGCTTCTCAGGTATAGAAGTCAGGCTGACTGGTCTATAGTTTCCCTGCTCCTCCTTTTAAAGTTAAACACTATATTAACCCTTCTCCAGTCTTCCAGGATCCCTTCTAGCATCCATGAGTTTGTAATTATTATTGCCATTGGCTCTGAGATTTCTTCAGCTAATTCAGCCAGTATCCTCAGGTGAATAGCATCCAGCCCTGCTGATTTGAATTCATTCAAATTATTCAGAAGATCGCTGACGTCTTCTTTACTTATCCCAATCTGCATCCCTTCCCCTTTATTGTCTATGGTAATGTTGCTAGTCATCTGGTCAGATTTTTTTTTTTAGAGAAGACTGAAGCAAAGTAGCCATTGAGCCTTCCTATCATCTTCCATTACCAGCCCACCTTCTCCATGGAGCAGCAGACCCCACACTATCCTTGATCTTTCTTTTTTGTCTGATGTATTTGAAGAACCCCTTCCTGTTGTCTCTAGCATTTCTTGCCAGCTATAACTCACTCTTTGCCTTGGCTTTCCTGATTTTGTCCCTACATGGTCAGGCTATTCCCATGTATACCTCCTTGGTGACATGCCCCTCCTTCTGTTTCCTGTATGTATTCCTTTTGGTTTTTAGATTGCTAAAAAGTGTTTTGTGGAGCCACATGGGCCTCCTGTGACTCTTCTTAACTTTCTCTGTGTTGGAATAGCTTGATGTTGAACCTCTAGTGTTACATCTTTTTAAGAACTGCCAGCCCCCTTCAATTCCTTTTCTTCCTAACTGGTCTTTCCATGGGACCTTGCCTACTATTTCTCTGAGTCGGTTGAAATCTGCCTTTCTGAAGTCCAGTGTCCTTGTTTTGCTGTTCTCATTCCAGCTAATCATTTCACAGTGGAACTGAAATCTTTTGGAAAGGGGTTTTGCAAAATATCAGAGCATTTGCTTAAGCAGAATGTGAAATCTTCCATGGCAACCCTGGGGCAGAGACTTTAAAGTCTGCTGACTGCCTTCTGTGTACGATGCTAGCAGTCTGGAGGCCCCCCGAGCTTAGAACACACTGAAAACGAAGGCCAACATGCACTACAGGTTTTAAAGGATCGGGCTCGATCTAGCACAATCTTTTTAAATCCCCATTCTGCAAAGCTGGTCCATCTTCATTGTGTTCTGCGCATGGGACCCTCAGAGCTCAACCTTCAAAGCAGCCACTCTTTGGTAAATTGGCATTCTTTTCACTGAAGGCTTGGGGGACCAGGAGGCCAGTGAAGAGTGGAATATGGCCCTGGGAAACATTCATGAGCTTCAGTTAACCAGGAGTTTCAATTAACCAGCATTCAGTAAATCAACTTAATCAGGGCTTAAATTCTCAGAAAGTATTTCCCAGAGCTCCCCACACCTCCACCTACTAGACAAACAAAAAGCTACTTGAGGAGGCTCCACAGCTGTATCATGTTGTTTTCATACTTTTTTCTTCCCTGACCTTGCTCCTCAGATCAGTTGTGGCATGTCTTCTTTTCCTGATTCAGGAGCTCACATACGGCTCAGCATTGAACAGTGTGCGAGTCTGCCCTGCCAAGCTAATGAAAAGTAGCGTTGATATGGTCAGCATTTTCGGAGATGATCGCAAAGGGGTCATGATTATATTCATGTGCAAGAAACCCTGTTCACATTCAACTGATGTTATTGGTATGCATAGGTGCTGAGTTCCTCTTTACCGGGGCGGGGGGGAGGGAGGGGAAGGGTTCCCCCAAGCCCAAACCCCACTCCAACCCTTCCTCCAAGCCCCCACCCCGCTCCACCTCTTCCTGCCCCTGCTTCGCCCCTGGCCCTGTCCCCACTCCATGCCTTTCCCTAAGCCCCACCCCACCTCTTCCTGCCCCACTTCTTCCCTGCCTCTTTCTGCCCCCTCCCCTGAGAGTACCCCATCCCTGCTCCTCCCCCCACCATCCCAGCACCTCCTGCATGCCACAGAACAGCTGATTGCAGTGGCCAGGAGGCACTGGGAGAGGGAGGAGTTGATCAGCGGGGCCGCAGGTGAACGAGAGGTGCTGGGGAGAGTGGGGGAGCTTGGCTGGAGCACCCACGGAGTCAGCACCTATGTTGGTATGGTACTGAAGCACTTTACAAGAGATTTTACAGGAGCTGGCATTGCCTTCTGGTGACCGTCCTTGTATTCGCTGAACCCACACACTACCGCTCTCTCATCCAATTGCAACCTATGGCAGTGAGCCTTGACTTCACATTCCCCATGGAGTATGGTGGCATCCTGCGGCCAGTTCCTAGGATATAGAACTTTGACGTCAGCAGCAGGTTGCTCATCCGTTTTGTCTATGAGCCTATGCTGCAGCTGGTTTGCCAAACTTCTGTAGAATTGGGATCAGTTGATTGACATGATGCCTCTTGTGTTTGTGTCCAGCGCGATTTCCTGAAATTCCATCGCAGCTTCAGCTTCTCACGCAAGCCTCTCTTGCTCCCCTGGTTCTTTCACTCTCTGCTCAAAAACACAAATCTGCCTAGGAATTTTGTCTTGTGCACTTTGGATATTGATTTCCCTAGACTGTGGCTCCAGTGACAGTCCCGCTAACATTTGTAGAGCATCAGAAAGTATATCTTTTTCTTTACCTTGTGCTTCTGCTGACTGCTGGAAGTGAAGAAAGAGAGCACGGTAATTCTTCCAGACCACTTTCACTGCACAGCTACTTGATGCAACCCAACACACCCAATTTTCAAGATTTTTACATGCAAAGAGGCCGCACATTCTTGAAGTTCCCTTGCGCTTTTAGGGG